AGGTTGTCTTTTTGTTTTGCTTATGGCAATGCATCTTTAATTTGTAAAGAAATACATTTAGATGTAAGGGGAAAAAAAGGGTAAACCTGAAAGCATACTAACTATGCCTTAACCTGTTTCCAAACCCCAGGTTAATATGGTGTGGAATTGTATTTGATATTAGAAATAGGCTATAGTCCATTTCAGATTACTTTTATGTGAATTTTCTACTTTATGGTTTATTTATAGACTTATTTCTTTCCTCATATAGGCAGCATTCTTTCCTTCTTGGCCACTTTTAGCCTATCATGGAGCTAGTCTGCCAAGGAAATCACACTCATTTTAATATTAGCTTTTGTATTAGAATATCATATGCTAAATTACTCTGATACTTTTCATAATCATATATAACCATCTGATTAATTTTTTGTTCTCAGTATTAAGCAAAATTGTTCTCCCTCTTAGAATGTATAGTGTGATATGACCTAAGTTGGTGCTCAGCAAATGCTTATTGAATGAATGAGTAAACAGTTATATAATTTTTCAAATATTTTTGTAGTATAGACATCTCTCTTCATTGATTTATATGTAATTGGAACCTAGGTGATATCCTGGCATTTTGTAATTTCTACATTTTCCTGATTTTTAAAACATTATATAGATTAAAAAATACCATTGAAGTTTATTATTAACTAGTCCTTGATTCATTCTTTGAACATTTAGTCACTTGTTTTGAGTAAAGCTCAGTAAATAATTGTTTACTTATTATGGGTGGAAATCATTCCAAAATACTTTGTATTTTCCTTCTTTAGAACACAAATGCAAGTTGGACACTAAAGCCTGTGCTTCAGAGAACTACATTATGTTGCCATCTTTATGAGGATAGGAGATTGTATTAAATCAGAATCTGTTGATAATGAAGACTGAACTTCAGAATTTAAAATTTAAAAAAAAATTGAGGCAAGGCAGATAATTAGGTTTATTAATTTATTTTAATGGAGGTACTGGGGATTGAACTCAGAACTTGTGCATGCTAAGCACATGCTCTACCACTGAGCTATACCCTCCCCTCACCATGAACTTCAGAATTTTAAAAAAGCTCTTAGGTTGTTTTACATGCAACCAATGTTGAGAAACACTGTTAAAAGAAAAATGGTCACCTTTATTAGTGTTGTCAATATTTTTAAATTTACTGTAGGCAATCAAAACATTATGTAATATTTATTACACAAATGCTATGGACAATGTTAACTTTTTTTTTCTACTTCAATCTATTCTCTTTTTATCTATCTTTAGGACTATTAATGGTTCGCAAGGAAAATTATTCCCCTACCACTTAGAAAAGTGTGTCTGTGTTTTGAAGAGGCCTTATGCAAAATTTATAAATTCTTTGTCATTGTCACCATCAAAAGACACTTGTATAAATTTAATGTATTACTTTTTTCATGTTTGTTCATTCATTCATTTATAAAATTTATATTTACCATTTTAAAATATACTGTACAAAATAGAACATAATTTCTACATTTAAGGAATATACAGTTTAGGATATACATTAAAATAGCATTTAACACAATGTTTTGTAATAATAAGGGTAGTTACTATGGAGGCAAAAAGTAGAAAGTGATTGCCTGGAAATTTGGGAACACCTGGATAAATTGCTCTGTTTTAATATAGTTCCAATTATAAGAAATATTAAAATTATGTCTAATATTACAATAAAGATTGAAAACATTATTGCTTACAAGTTGAATTAATCCTTCATGAAGTTCTTTCTGTATTGACATTTCCATGCCTTGTAATACTCTAGTCCATAGTTGATTCAAAGGGGTAAAACTGGCAGCCAAGAAGATGACAAAGATACTGCCAGATATTCTTTTCTTCTCAGAATAAATTTTACAGATTTCTGTCTTTAGAATAACTTTGTTATATCTTCACAGAATCCTTTTTTTTTAATTGTTGCTTTTTTAAAGTACAGAGGTATATGATAGAGCTAATCAATAAAGTAGATTTTGGTCCATCTATCCATTCATTATTTTGCATTCTGTAAGCAACAGGAGAATGTATTACGCCTTTGAAAGCCTTTGGAGATAATTACATTTTTCCATATTCATTCATAGTTTTATTGAATGGAAGCCTGCAACATTAATACGTTCAGGAAAAGCCAGTCTGTTTTTATTTTGCTTAAATCTATCAATACCTGATAAACTCACATGACTGTCAGGCATCACCAACATACATTGATATAAGCAGTATAAAATACCTGTTATGATTCCCTATTGTGAAAAAATAATCTTGCTAATCTTTTCTCTCACTTAATATTATATTATTATTATTTTTTAAGTTTTAGTTGATTTATAGTTTTATATTAGTTTCAGTGAGTCACTTTTTTATAGATTACAGTCTCAATATTATTGAACTCTTTACTGTCATATACATTTGCATGTATCTACCATATGTTATCACATATTGTATGTAATGTAATATGATATATAAAATAATACAACATGATTATGTTATGTGTTATCACATATATGTAGGGACTGTGCAGCAGGTAGCCTCAGAATTCTGGTTCCTCACTGTGTCTGTTTTGTCACTGTAAATGGACAGAATGATGGCATCAGCAGTTATTTTGAGGATAAATTAATTAATATGTTAAGTATTTAGAAGAGGGCCTAGCAGTTATTAGGTGCTATGTAAATA